CCTGTTGGTGTGTTAATATAAAGCATAATAGCTGGTCAGTCGCTGGTTAACCACCCACCATGTCCACCTTAAATAAATGTATGCATTTAGCAGATGCTTTTATCCAAACTTACAGTGCATTCAGGCTATACATTTTTTAATCAGTATGTGTGTTCCCTGGGAATTGAATCCACGACCTCTGCGCTGCTAACGCAATGCTCTACCACTGAGCCACAGGAACCTTAACCAGCTAATGATCAGTTCAAACCAGCTGCTGTACTCCAAGAAGCAACTGCAAGTTTAAGATGGACTTTCTTTTGAAATCCTCTGTCATTTTTCTTTACAAATCCTCGTTTTGTACTTTGTTTTGCTCTTGATTATCCTATTTAAATCTATGTGATGAAAGAGTAAGGTCAAAAGTATTCAAAAAGTAGTCTGATTATGTTACCTAAAATGTGTAATGTAATAGATTATGTTACTAGCTACAATTTTTGTCATGTAATTTGGAATCAGTAACGGACTACTATTTGTAAGTAATCTACCCAGCTCTGCATATATTAAAAGCTATATGTGCATGCAATGCATGTTATATTACTCTAATATAAAGTGGCCTGTTGGTGTGTTAATATAAAGCATAATAGCTGGTCAGTCGCTGGTTAACCACCCACCATGTCCACCTTAAATAAATGTATGCATTTAGCAGATGCTTTTATCCAAACTTACAGTGCATTCAGGCTATACATTTTTTAATCAGTATGTGTGTTCCCTGGGAATTGAATCCACGACCTCTGCGCTGCTAACGCAATGCTCTACCACTGAGCCACAGGAACCTTAACCAGCTAATGATCAGTTCAAACCAGCTGCTGTACTCCAAGAAGCAACTGCAAGTTTAAGATGGACTTTCTAAGTGGGTAGTACCATGGTTTTCTTTGAAAAACGCTACTGTGCAAACGTTTGGGGTCTGTAAGATACATTTTTGAAAGAAAGTAATACAGCAAGGATGCATGCAATCGATCAAAAGTAAGAGTAGACACTTTTATAATGTTCAAAAAGATTTCTATTTCAAATAAATGCTGTTCTTTGGAACTTTCTATTCATCAAAGACTTCTAAAAAAAAAAAAAAAGGTTTCCACAAAATTCATTTTTTTTCAACATTGATGATAGTTTCTTGAGCAGCAAATCAGAATATGAGAATGATTTCTGAAGGATCATGCGACACTGAAGACTGGAGTAATGATGCTGAAAATTCAGTTTTGATCACAGGAATAAATTACATTTTACAATATATTCTAATAAAAAATGGATATTTTAAATTGTAATAATATTTCACAATTTTTACAGTATTTTTAATCAAATAAATGCAGCCTTGGTGAGCATAAAGAGACACATTTCAAAAACATAAAAAAATACAGACCCCAAACTTTTGAAGAGTATTTTACAGTACCTTGAAATACCATATATATACGCTACTTAGTGTATATATGTAGTGGCACCATGTTTTTGTACAACTACAAGAATCATTTATCCTTAATTCATTCTATATTGTGACTTGAAACGCATCTCAAATGTTCCAGCATGTGTTGAAGTCAAGTTTTCATGAAACAAAATCCAGATCTGACTGGATCATGGTGTCATTATAGTAGCTGTCTTTAAAGCACATCTGCTTGACTCCACAGGCAGATGTGTGCCACCGACATGACAGTACAGCGTGATGACTGACAGGTAAACCCTGAAGAAAGCAGTCGACTCGCTCGCCAAACACCCATCTGTGACCCGTCTTACCTGTACGATCCGCACCTGTCCGGAAGATCCTGTCTGAATCGTCCCGCAATGATCAACCAACACATTTTCCTGCATTACAACTACACGGGGAAACTAGACAATCGCAATGAGACCGAAGGCGCCCCATTGGACCCCAAAACGGCCGTGTTTTTGGTCGTTTGCGGCCTCATCATCCTGGAGAACCTGATAGTGCTGGTGGCCATCTGGCAAAACCACAAATTTCATAACCGGATGTACTTTTTTATCGCCAACCTGGCTTTGTGCGACTTGTTAGCCGGCGTGACTTATATAGTCAACCTGCTGATGTCAGGACAGTGGACGCTACACTTGTCTCCGGCCGAGTGGTTTGTTCGAGAAGGGAGTATGTTTGTCGCATTAGGCGCGTCTATTTTCAGCCTACTGGCGATTGCGATCGAACGCCACCTTACTATGATCAAAATGAGGCCTTATAACGCAAGCAAAAACTATCGGGTGTTTCTGCTCATAGGAACGTGCTGGCTGATCGCGATCACACTGGGAGCGCTGCCTATTTTAGGCTGGAACTGTCTGGAGGATCTTCCTCAGTGCTCCACCATCTTACCTCTTTACAGCAAGAGCTATGTCGCGTTCTGCATCACCATCTTCATCTCGCTCCTGCTGGCCATCTCTGTCCTCTACGCCCGCATTTACGCCCTGGTCAAGAGCAGCAGCCGCAAAGTCACCAAGCACAGCAACTGCGAGCACTCCATGGCCCTCCTGCGCACCGTCAGCATCGTGTTGGGCGTCTTCATCGCCTGCTGGACGCCCATCTTCGTGCTGCTCCTCGTCGACGTGGCCTGCAGGACCAAAACGTGCCCGGTTCTGCTCAAAGCTGATTGGTTCATCGTGCTGGCCGTCTTGAATTCCGCCATGAACCCTGTCATCTACACACTGGCCAGCAGGGAGTTGCGCCGGGCGTTTTACAGGCTCGTGTGCGGGTGTTTGGTGCGGGACGGCGCGGTGGGGTGCAAGCAGAACACGGACCCCAGCCGGAGCAAATCCAGCTCCAACTGCCCGCGGGCGGCCGAACAGGAAAACCCAGACGCGCAGAATCAAGCTAAGAAAAGCTGAAGCACTCAGTGTGTTTGCTAAAATGCACACTACAGCATTAGTGCATGCTATAGAACTTTAGTATGCACTTTTTAAGTGCACTATTAGTGCATACTAAAGTGCACAATAAAGCATCAGCAGGTTAAGTGCATGTTGAACAGTGGAAAGCAGTTTTAATGTCCCAACAGATGCTTTCATTTGAGATCCCAACCTATCTGTTCTTACACTGCAAAAAAATGATTCTTACTCAGTATTTTTGTCTTGTTTTTCAGTGCAAATTTCTAAAGATTCTTAAATCAAGACACATTTACTTGAGAAATGACATTAAGATAAGAAGTCCTGTTTTCTGAAAAATGTAACAAAATTGAAGTATGTTTTTGCTTAGAACAAGAAAAAAAAATCTAACATTTTACAATAAGGTTCTGTTTGTTAACTATATTTAATGCATTAACTAACATTGACGAATAACGAGCAAGACATTGTTACAGAATTTGTTAATCTTTGTCAGTTAATAAAAATACAACTGTTCATTGTTAGTCTATGTTAGCTCAGGTCCATTAAATAACATTAATAGATATAACTTTTGATTTTAATAAATGTTGGAATCAACATGATCTAAGATGCTTTAGAAGTATTCGTCATCGTTAGTTTATGTTAACTAATGTAACTAGCGTTAACAAATATTGTAAAGTGTTACCAAAATATCTGCCAATGGGGTCAGAACAAAATCATTTCCCCTTAGAATCAGTTATTGTAGTTAACTAAAATTAAAAGTAAAACAATAAATTTTTTGTATCAAATAAATCAAATAAAATATAAAAAACGTTTTATTTCATTTGATTTTATTTAACAATGCCACACAAAAAAAACTGGAATTTTATATATATATATATATATATATATATATATATATATAAATGAAAACAGCAAATATAAAAGTAAAAAACTGATTCAAAATAATAATAACAACTATAATAGTCTCAATGATACTAAAATAACACTGTTTTGCATTTAAAAAAATTATCCCATTGGCAGAATTTTTTTTTTCTGGTTTTAAACAAAAACTTGAATTTGATAAATTTTTCCGAAAACAAGACTTTATACCTTTAGTGCTTTTCCTTCTCAAGTAAATGTGTCTTGATTTAAGAATGTTTAGATATTTGTACTGTAAATGACAAAAATACTGAGTAAGAATCATTTTTTTGCATTCAGTGTAGCTGACTAAAAGACTAATTTGACAATTATATAAATATTGACAGTATTCATATAGCGCTATGTTAAATGTTGTACTATCTGTATACCGAAAACCTTTTATGCCAGGTGTTGATGTATGTTATACTAGCATGTTTCACTTCAGTCTGTATGATACGTTGTATATAGGTTGTTGATTTTTCTTGAAATAACTTATCAAACTTTTACCAAAGAACATTCATACAAGAGTAATGCACACTGCTGTAAATGTATGTATATTAATGATTTAAACCAATACAGCTGTTTATGGTCCCATATGCAGTGCTGTGTAAGGAAATATTAATAGTGCACTTGCGCCATCTGCTGGACACATACAAGCAGCACAAAATAAATATATAAAATCAATACAATTAAATATAAATCAAATCTAAAATAGATAATAATATAAATAAAATGATACAATGCTCCTCAAGTAAATGCATGTAAATGTATGTATATTAATGATTTAAACCAATACAGCTGTTTATGGTCCCACATGCAGTGCTGTGTAAGGAAATATTAATAGTGCACTTGCGCCATCTGCTGGACACATACAAGCAGCACAAACCATAGTGATTCTATCTTGTGCTGTAAATTGTTCAGTGAAAATATGAAGTATGAGATTATTTTATTGTTTGTATGTATAGTATTTAATAAATTAAATAGGATGAATTTAACTGTAAAATTACAATTATTTAAAACTAAAAATAGATTTTTCTCATTCATCCTGTACCTCCACATCAATATATTCAGAGTTTAATGTGACAAAATTCACTACATAAATATCATGTGTTGTGTTTGTGTGAGAAAGACGATATTCAAAGTGATGCAATAATGCAAACGATAACAACAATCATATTCAAATCTAGAGAAAGAAAAGAGATCCACAGTTGAGCATATATGAAACTGCACGCCGGTCTTCATCATTCTAGACTACAAAACTTCTTTAATATTTAAAATCACCACAATTTATGGGTGAATCTCATCAAGAAAGGTCATATTCCACTCTGCCAAAAAAAAAAAAAGAAGAAAATAAATTATATTCAGCATAAAGCAAATTAAGCTTGTATCTAGGACCATTTATATTTTTTGGATTATTCTCATGACAATAATAAGCTTCATTGACTACCTTTCTGTTGATTCCTTAATTTTTTTATGAGATTCACCCTTATTTATGCATGATAACTTTATAAGTTAATATCAGTGATTATATTGGATGACATTTTCCCCCCCCAAAAAATTCTATTCAGTATTTAAAAAAACGAAACCAGTTTGCAGGAACATTAATATTTTGCTGCATTATTTTTATGGGGAATTTTCATTTTGGGGTCAGTTTCATGACGTTTTTATGAGATACACCCTTATGCACTAAGATATAAGTTCATATCTTAGTGCTATTTTCCAAACAGCAATCAGATGCAAAAATAAATAAATAATAATAATTTAATTTAAAAAAAAGTGGAAGAAAACCAATTATATTCAGCATAAAAAAGGAAACTTGTTTGTAGGACTACTAATATTTTTTGAATTATTGTCATTAATATAATTTTTTGATGATTTTTGGGGTCAATTTCTTGACATTCAGCCTCATGCTTGCATATCTTGGAGCTATTTTCTAAACACGAATAGTATCAGATGCAAATTTCATTTATCTGAAATGTGGATTTAAAGAAAAACACTAAATGCTATACCGAAGCATGTTTACGGTATAATAAATATGAATATTTTAAAGCGTGGCTAAAACGGTGACAAATCCAGTAATACTCCAGTTTGTCCAGTAATTAGACTGTGCAAAAACACACCAGACCGTCTCCCTCACACAGAAAAGCGTTAATTGTGCTATTCATTTAGAACGGTTTAATTGAAAATAATCATCAGAAGAATAATTATAATACCAGTGTGTGTGTTTGTGAAGCCCACAGTCGAACCATGAAAGCCAGAACCCATAGAAACATCCAAGGTATAAAGTAAAGGCCTGAGCCGAGCGACTACACCCCTCTGACACGTTTAAAGAAGGAGCTAAACTCAAGGAATACTGGGAAAGCATAAATATTTGACATTGTGAGCACACAAAAGCACCTCCGCTGGGGCTCTGGATGCTACCAACAATGACCACAAGTACAATTAAGGTTTTAAGTCATGCGAGTGCCAGAGGTTTCAACGTCATAGAAAACTGAAGGTGTGTGTGTGTGTGTGTGTGTGTTCGTGCAGCATGTCGGAGTGTGATTTCTGTTAAAGCAAACACATTCACGTCATCTTCCCTCTGAAAAGCAGTGATTCGATAGAAGCTACCAAATGATCTCGCGCACTAGCTGCAGTAAAGGACGAACTCCTAAAATAGGTCGATATAAACAGCTTTGTTTTACGTTGTCTCAAATAGTAGTTTTCCTTCTATCTCTTACCGACGAACATGAAAATCCGGTTGTGCTTGATAGACAAAACTAAAACTTTTTTATTCTAAAATACTCTGTAGCTAGTTTTCGTCACATGCCTCTTGGGGGCCGAGTTCGTCCAAACTCCCCTTTCGAACGGCTGTCTTCTTCAAAAATAGAGATTCTCAGCCAACGCAATAAAATAACTGTCAGTTCTAGAATTCAGCTTTCGGTGAGAGCGCTTTCGCATCATCCAAACTAAAATCCTGCATCGTTGGACAAGCGTCACGTGTTCTCCGACGGAGATCAGTCATCTGAGCGTGTGTTTTCGTAAAAGAGCGGCGCCGTGAGCCTCCCGCGGGATTTCAGGTGTCGTCACTGTTTCCTTTCCACGGGCTGCTTCAAACACAGTTCGCTTCCCGCCGACACGATTGGCAGGTTGTTGTCACGGTGATGGCCAATCAGGTGGCTTATGCTCTCGAATATGTGATCCTTCGTCCGGACCTTGAGGAGACAAAAATTAGATTTGAAAGTTTAAGCACACATGACAGAAACATGCTCTACCATTTAAACATTTGGTGTCAGTAAGATGTTTTTTGGAAGAAATTAATATTTGTATTTAGCAAGGACGCATAAAATTGATCAAAAGTGCCAGTAAAGACGTTTAAAATGTTACAGAGGATTTCAAATAAATGCTGTTCTTTTGAACGTTCTATTCATCAAACTTCAGAGAATCATGAAGAATAAAATGTATCACGGTTTCCACAAAAATATGAAGCAGCACAACTGTTTTCAACAGTGATAATAATCAGAAATATTTCTTGAGCACCAGTGTTATTTTAGTATCAATATACCATTATAGTTTTTGTTAATATTCTTAATTAGATTTTTTTTTTTTTTACACGTTTACATTTTAATTTTAGTTAAACTTTTAGTAATTTTGTGTTTGTTATTAATTTTTTTAATGTCTATTAAGTTTGTATTAAGTTTTAGTTTAAATAAAAATGTCAACTAGCTGAAATAATATAATTATTTGATCATTTTCACTTAAACCCTTTCGGGCAGCAGATCAGCATATTATACTGATTTCTGAAGATCATGTGACACTGAAGACTGGAGGAATGATGCTGAAAATACAGAGCAATAAATTACAGTTTAACAGATATTCACATAGAAAACAGTTATTTTAAATTGTAATAATATTTCACAATATTACAGTTTTTACTGTATTTTTGGTCATATAAATGCAGCCTTTGCTGAGCAGAAGAGACTTCTTTCAGAAACATTAAAAAATCTTTCTGACCCCACACTTGTGGCAACTACAGTGGAGTCCAAAATCCAGATTGGAAATATTGTATTTCATTCATTCAAACCTGGAACTAAACAGTTTTAGGATTTGGAAATGTTTTCAATAAAATGATCAAATGAACGGAGATCTATTTCAGATTCTGCAGTATCTCTGTGACTAATCAAATATAAGCAAATGAGTGTCATGTGACAGAGATGAGACTTTGTCCGATTTTCTTCTCCACTGACGCTCGCGATGCTCTTTGCAACATCTCAAATCATGCTGGAGAACTTTCACTCCAAATGTTTTACAAAAGAGCCTAAAACAGAAGCACTTTCTCTAGAGCTCTAAGACGTTTGAATCCCACTAAGTTTACTTTAATACACTGTAAAAATGTTTTATCGGAGAAAGAAAAACACTACTGGAGTTTGTTTTACAAGAAAACACTATTTCAAAATTACATGTTTAATTCAATGTGCTGTTTCTTTGTAATTATTTGTGAAATTTACAAGCAATGTTGAAAACGGTTTCTCATTTTTCAGTGTATGTGATTACATATCGCTAAAATCTGTTCATATTCATCAGTGCCCAGAGTAGGCTTTTTATTCTTAAAGGAGACATATTATGCCCCTTTTTACAATATGTAATATAAGTCTCTGGTGTCCCCAGAATGTGTCTGAAGTTTCAGCTCAAAATACTCCACAGATCATTTATTATATCATTTTGAAAATGCCTATTTTGAGTGGAAGCAGAAACATGCTGTTTTTCGGGCCTGTCTCTTTAAATGCAAATGAGCTGCTGCTCCCCGCCCCCTTTTCCAGAATAGAGCTGCGCCTTTACAGCTCGGACCTGCTAAAAACATCTGTTTTGGTTCTGTTTATCGCTGATATATGGTTTTCTGAGAGCACACATCCGAAGCACACGCACAGAAAGCGGCTGTCACAGCATGCGAGTACTAAACTAAGTTCTCATTCACACACAAGTTTACGTTAAAAACACACGAGTTACAAAAACAGTGGGTTATGTCTGTGAAGGTAAACAGCTGGGAAATAAATTGCTTGTTTATTTTACATCAGTGTGGCAGCAGCAATATACAGTAAATACATTAATAAATGCACTGCTCTGTTGTCTCCTCTGAGGCTGGGACTCTAAACAGTGTTCTGTGCTCGTCTGTGCAGCCAAACACAGAACAGTTAGCATGTTTTGCTCAAACTTTCTCCATGGCATTAGAGCTAGTACACCGTTGCAGCTTGCAAAATCTAAATAACGGCGCCGTGGGTGTAAACTTACAGATTAAGGGGCAGTAATATTATAATGAGATCGCTTTGCCACGTCACCAAGGGAGCGTAATCAGACGCGCTTGTTTTCTCAGAGGCTTGCAGAAAAAGGCTTCACAAAACAAAGTTACTGAGTTAATCTTTTTCACGTTTGCTTGGTTGGTAGATGCACCGGGGACACGATTATAGCACTTACAACCTGGACAAGTCAGATTTTCATGATATGTCACCTTTAAGAAATAGTGAGGTTAAAAACAGCCACTGAGTTTGGTGTGTATGGGTGAGCATGGCTCTCACCGTTCCCTCCGGATCGACCAGCAGCAGGTGTTTGGCCAGGCCGTGGTGCATCCCTGTCAGGACGTATGAGCCCGGGTTAGTGCTGCTCTTCCGCACCAGAAAGTCTCCGTCGCGGAGCAGCAGTTTCTCGGCCTGGCGGCGGCTCATCTCTCCGTGGTACCATGTCTGGTCCTCCAGCTCCTCCTGAGCTCTCAGAGCGGCCGCGCGCATCAGCAGAGGACTGCAGTTATCCACGGACGCCGCTTTATGCAGCTCTGAGGCTGGAGGAGCCGGAGCCGGAGTCTGGGTCATGATGGCGTCCTCAAACGGCTCTGATGGCACGAGAAAACATTTAACATTTTTATTTAGTCTCAAAATGTCACCCAGCTCTTCATATAAGGTTGGTTGGTGTTTCAACACCAATGTTTTTGCTATTTTCATGGTGAGTAATAAGTAAAAAATCCAATAAATAAATTATTGAACAATTTATGTTGTAGGTTTTTGAATTGCACTTTTATTTTTAGTTTATAATTTTCTAAGAGAACTTAAACCAGCACTATTTTATAAAACATGTTTTGATATACAGTATAATTCTGTCCAACTTTATCCACATACATACAGTATCTCTGCCAAATGCCACTATGAGGCGTGAAGATGTTAAGATATTATAAACATTAGCATCATGATTTTCTGCTTTTGAAGTTGCTTTGAAACGATGTGTTTTGTGTAAAGCACTAAATTTGACTTGTGACAAAAGGGATTCGTTAATGAAATGACTCAATTTTCCTCACTTTTATCATCTTTCTACAAAAACTGCTGACAATGATGTGATACAGTCAGAAGATATTTATGACCCTGGACCACAAAACCAGTCATGAGGTTCAATTTTTTTAAATTGAGATTTATACATCATCTGAAAGCTGAATAAATAAACTTTCCATTGATGTATGGTTTGTTAGCATAGGACAATATTTGGACAAATCTGGAATCTGAGAGTGCAAAAAAAAAATCTAAATATTAAGAAAATCATCTTTAAAGTTGTCCAAATTAAGTTCTTAGCAATGCACATTACGCATCGAAAATTAAGTTTTGATATATTTACGGTAGGAAATGTACAAAATATCTTCATGGAACATGATCTTTACTTAATATCCTAACCATTTTTGGCATAAAAGAAAAATTGATAATTTTGACCCATATAATGTATTTTTGGCTATTGCTACAAATATACCCGTGCTACTTATGACTGGCTTTGTGCTCCAGGGTCACATTTAATATTCAAATGAGGGGTGGGATTCTGGACCAATGAGATTTGGTTATGGGCGGAGCTAACACACAGAATCAGAAATGTTCAGATTGGACACAATGTCATGGAAGAGATTGTTTTTATTTGTTGGTTCTTTATCACAATGTTTCTGGTTGTGTGTCATTTTATGCTTTTTTTGTATTTTCTCTCATTTTTCTGCTGCCACATAGAATGATGAAAAATCATTTTGACAATCTAATCTGCTATGCCATAAATTGGCTAAAAAGCCAGTATTTTTCAAGCAAGTTTTATAGGTATACAAAATACCAAAAAAACAAATGTGACCCTGCAGCACAAAAGCAGTGTTAAGTCGCTGGGTTATATTTGAAGCAATAGCCAAAAATAAATTTTATGGTCCAAAATAATATATTTTTCTTTGATGCCAAAAATCATTAGGATATTAAGTAAAGATCATGTTCCATGAAGATATTTAGTAAATTTCCTACTGTAAATATATCAAAACTTAATTTTAGATTAGTAATATGCATTTCTAAGAACTTCATTTGGACAAATTTAAAGATGATTTTCTCAATATTTAGATTTTTTTGCACCCTCAGATTCCAGATTTTCAAATAGTTGTATCTCCGCCAAATATTGTCCTATCCTAACAAACCATACATCAATGGAACGCTTATTTATTCAGCTTTCAGATGATGTATAACTCTTGATTTAAAAAAATGGACCCTTATGACTGGTTTTGTGCTCCAGGGTCAGAAATATGACCATTAGGGGTGGGCAATATGACCACAATCTTATATTGAGTTATGAGTCATTTTATTTTACAGTAACTAATACTCGCCAAGACGGCATTCTGACAACCTGAACTTGCAGATTTGAACTTTTGTGTTATGAAGTGCATTTTTATGTGCCACCTATTGACGGCGCTGTAAAACATTTAGATTTTTTTGCACCCTCAGATTCCAGATTTTCAAATAGTTGTATCTCCGCCAAATATTGTCCTATCCTAACAAACCATACATCAATGGAACGCTTATTTATTCAGCTTTCAGATGATGTATAACTCTTGATTTAAAAAAATGGACCCTTATGACTGGTTTTGTGCTCCAGGGTCAGAAATATGACCATTAGGGGTGGGCAATATGACCACAATCTTATATTGAGTTATGAGTCATTTTATTTCACAGTAACTAATACTCGCCAAGACGGCATTCTGACAACCTGAACTTGCAGATTTGAACTTTTGTGTTATGAAGTGCATTTTTATGTGCCACCTATTGACGGCGCTGTAAAACACGTACATTACATAGTCCTACAGCAGTGTTAAGAATGAACAGACTATAAACTCTTACTCATGTCAAAGAGGTCCTTCCTCGGGCTGTCTTTAGCTGTCCCACTCGTGCCCGAATCGGACGGCGTCTCTGACTCTCCCTGGAGGGCAGCCAGCATCTGTGTGTCAATGTGCTGCGTGTTCACATACGTGGGCACTTCTCCTGGTTTAGGGGCTTGACCTTTGACCTCAGGGAGACTGTATATGTCACAGGAGCCTAAATGAAAGGCACAGACAGAAACACTTTTTTGTGTGTTCTGTCCCTTTAACTCAATGTCAAAACAGTGAAAATAAAAGGAACTTGTACCTTGTTGGATGAACATGGGGCGGCCCTGGTAGTACGTCTGGTGGACTCCAGCGGCCTGTGTGGACAGCAGCAAACAGCACATGAGTCATCAACAACAATAATGAAACACCTCCTCATCGCTGAGCTGATGGAGTCCACATACACTGACAGACAGGAAGCAGAGGCCACACTACAGGAAGTCACAGTTTATTATAACTAAAATTAAAATCACACTATTAATGTCAACATTTATACAAGCTGTTAAGGAGTAGATCATGCGGAATGTGAGTAAAAAACAACAACTAATACTGTACTGTAACTTCAGAAATGTTATAATAATAATATTTCTTACTTTACTGTTTAATTTATATATGTTGGAATAGGAAAGTTGGAATAGTTATGTATTTTGTATTGTTCTTATCAATATTATGACAACATTTATTTATTTATTTAACATTTTATTATATGTGTTTGGATGGAAAAGCTGTAATTGTTCTTTTTGTGTTATTTATTTATTTATTATAAATAAACAAATTAATAACTATTATATTTATTTATTATTATTTAATTACTACATACCTTGGAGTGGGAAAGTTGTTCTGTATTTTGTGTTGTTCATTTTAATATTATAACAAAATATAATATTTATTTATTTATTATTTTAATTATTACATGTTGGAGTGAGAAAATTGTTCTTTATTTTGCGTTGTTTATTTTTAGATTATAACAAAATATATATATCTTTTTTTATTTTATTTTTATTTATTTAATTATCATAAATTGGAGTGCTAAAATTGGAATTGTTCAGTATTTTGTGTTGTTTTTTTCAATATTATAACAAAATGTAATATTTATAATATATTAATTAATTAATTTAAAAAAATTATACGCTGGAGTGAGAAAATTGGAGTTGTTCTGTATTTTGCGTTGTTCATAACAAAATATAATATTTAGTTACTCTTATTGAATTTTCTTGTTTAATTATATATTGGAGTGGGAAAATTGAAATTGTTCTGTAATTTATGTTTTTCCTTTTGATATAATAACAAAATGTAATGTTTATTTTAAAATTATTTTAATTTAATTAATATATATATGTTGGGGAGGAAATATTAGAATTGTTCTATATTTTGCTTTATTACTTTCAAAATTAAAACAAAGCATAATAAAGTATAATAATAAAAAAAAACGCATGCAAACATTACAATTAATATCAGATTTGTTTGGTTTCCGTTCCCTAAATTTAATATTCTCTCGATTCATTTTAGTGACCTGATTTCCTTGATCTACAGAGGTAAATACTATGCTTTATAAAAACCTCAGAATAATAGCATAATCTTTACTCTCAGTATTTACCAAAGCACAATTAATGAAGAGCTATTGACAAAAACACGCGAGTTGCATTTGCAGAAGCAGCTGAGCTCGAGTGATGATCGATCAGAGGTCAGGTTACTATAAATAGCGCATGAGTGTGGGCGAGTGATTCGTTGTGCACACCTGGCTGCTGTCTTGCGTCTGATTGGTCAGTCTAGCATCAATGAAGCCTCCTGGTGGCGGCATCTTTCCGGGAATGCTGTTGTAGTAGTGATGATCGGCCGACTCCTCTCCTTCCTCCGTCCACGGGGGCTCGTCTGTACTCATAACCCTAAACACAGGACACAGTGAGAGCGGGGTCTGAGGATCAGAATCTTGAAGGTGTGGATGAGGACTCACCTGTCGTGCATGGACGAGGGTTTGCTGGACGGACACTGCAAATAGAGCTGAAAGCGCAGGTCGAACGCCTGACCGATCGTACTGATCACGTCCTGAGCCAGACCGTCAGAGCACTCCAGAATATGACAGGCTAGAAAACACAGGACACGTCAGGATCAATATCGCCAAACCTGTCCAGAGCACGTCCACCTCATAATTCACCCCAAAATCAAAAGAAACTTTTATGACCATTAAGATTTATTGTTACATTATTGTCATGACAATTAAGCACATTTAACCCCTAAATTCTTATTACTGTAGAAAAATTGTTTTTCAAAATTTGAAGATTTTGTACATTATGGTAGCATTTATTAATTTATACATATAAAATATATATACACGTTACCATATTTTTGCAATACTAAAATAACACTGCGGTAAAATATATATTTTACAAGTTGTTATTCATATTTTGAATTTGTTTATATATACAGGTGCATCTCAATAAATTAGAATGTCGTGGAAAAGTTCATTTATTTCAGTAATTCAACTCAAATTGTGAAACTCGTGTATTAAATAAATTCAATGCACACAGACTGAAGTAGTTTACGTCTTTGGTTCTTTTAATTGTGATGATTTTGGCTCACATTGAACAAAAACCCACCAATTCACTATCTCAACACATTTTTTAGTAAGTGTTTTAAATTAATTTATTTCAGGTGGTTGGTGAATTGATGAAAAGTTAATAATTAAATCATAAAAAATGAAATAAAATTTCAAATTAAATATTTATTTTCATTTGACCTATTTATGATTTAATTATTAACTCCATCAATTCACCAACCACCTGCGGTTCTTTTCTGAACCCACATTTGGGAAACCCTGCATTATGGTAATGAGATCTTGATAGTGGAAATATGTTTATTGTCATTAAAATATTATTATTAATAATAATAATAATAATAATGTCACAGGAGGAAAAAACTTAAAAGTGCTAAAATTGAAAGAAATATATTAAGAAATGTTATTTTGCATAAAGAAAATATTTTTACTTTCTTCATGTAAAATAAAATGTAATTACATTTCTTTCTTTACATTTTAGGGTGAACTGTGATGAACATGTTTTCATATGATTTACCCATTAAAGGGGTCATATGATGCGATTTCAATTGTTTCTTTCTCTTTGGAGTGTTACAAGCTCTTGGTGCATAAAGAAGATCTGTAAAGTTGCAAACACTAAAGTCTCAAATCCAAAGAGATATTCTTTATAAAAGTTAAGAGTTAACCACAACTACCTAAAACGGCTCGTTCTAACACGCCCCCACATGTCTACATCACTATGTGGGAAGATTTGCATAACGCTGCCCAAATGTTCAAGCAAAGAAAGAAGGCGTAACTTTGATTCTCGCTGTAGTATTGTTGCTGCCGCCGCCGCCATGTCGTGAAGATGCTGTGTGCTTCGTTGTGAAAGCGAAACTACTTTGTTTGGTCTTCCAAAAATGGACACGACTAGAAATCAGTGGTTAAGTTGTATTTACAACACTGTTCCAGAACACTTCAACCCAAATATTCAGATGTGTGCAGCACATTTTATGGAGGACTGTTTACTGAT